ATCCTCCGTACATTTTTCCCACTCGATTTTATTGCAACGCTCCCCCTAGCGTACGTCGCCGCACTATATCGAACGATGACACGCGCCATATGTGGCATCATTCCTATTTTATAACACCTCGCATCTTTCATAATCAACTACACGTACCGCCGTCTAATTTATAACATCTTGCATCTTTTGGACGGACGGACGGATGGACGGACGGACGGACGGATGGATGGATGGATGGATGGATGGATGGATGGATGGATGGATGGATGGATGGATGGATGGATGGATGGATGGACGGACGGGACGGAACGGACGGACGGACGGACGGACGGACGGATGGATGGATGGATGGATGGATGGATGGATGGATGGATGGATGGATGGATGGATGGATGGACGGATGGACGGATGGACGGATGGATATGGCTGTACCCTTTAGATCGGGCGGTGGCTAGCGTAATACTTAGAACTGAACGAGAGGTGGCTACATACAGGGGACGCACAGCCCACGCCTTAAGGAGCTTCGCTCCTAAAAAAAGTAACGTCAACTTTGCACTTTATACATAAGAATTTACTCTGCATCATATATCAACCAAATAAAAGGACATATAAACTAGCAAGTTAAGCATTATAATCATCATACACGATTACATGAGACGTGCGATATCTACCACGCGGACGAACAGATGAGCTTCGGTGATAAAGAGAGCGAAAAAAATGTAAACACGATATTGAAGACGAGTGTGAGATGAGTGGGGAAATTACCCCAACGAGTGATGAAGCGGACATAAAGTATTTTTAAGCCCAACCCCCCTTTTTTTTCTTAAACTCCAAAATGACACTGCCGCAGGATTCTTGGCCGATCCTCCGCGGTGGGTTGAGCGCACTCCTCTTAGGTTCAAGCAACCAGCCAACCCGGGATGAGTGAAGCTAAGTCTGAAACATGCGACGAAACGAGTCATGTGAGTTATGAAGGCGTTGGGACTGGCGAAGACGGCGTTGTTTTGTGCGAAAGTGGGGGAGACAGAAATAAACAAGTTCGAAGATATAATGCGCTTGCTTCAATCTCCAAAAATCACCACACAAAAGAAAGTGTACCCACCAGCACCATCTCTACTGTTTAATCAGTCCTGGCGACGTTAGGGCAGTAAGGTGGGGTTGTTCTTCTATATAGAGCTTTTTAAATACGGAGCATATCTTAGTCGCATGATGCCACGCTTCGGCGTCGGTGGTGGCGCCGTCCAAGCTCCCACTGCGCATGCTCGCGTCCCATGCCAATTGTCCCCCCCCCCCTCTCTCTCTCTATCTCGCCTCGCAAGGCCGACGCAGCGTCTGCTAGTAAAAACCGACTGCTCACGCTGCACAACCGTTCACTGGCCTTTTCACCAAAGGCTCCCTAGGCGCCGCCATTGTCCTCTCTATGCTGTTGTTAGTGCGCCTGACCCCCCCCCCTCCCACACACACACACACACAAAAAAAAAAAGTGCGCTGCAGAGGATGTGGTGTCTGCTTTTGTAATCTCGTGCAACAGCCCAGAAAGGAGAAAATCCTCCTCACCGTAAAAAAGATTCATATGTAGGCAATGGATTGCACATCAGCGTCCCACCACTCTTTGAAGGCAACGCTTCTCTTTCATTCAATAAATAAGAATGATAAAGATGAAATACCAATTAAGCATTCCCAAACCATACTCAATTACGCGACATTTACGTAATACCCCCCCCCCCTCTGCAACGTATTTACTTGAGTTCCCCCCCCCCCCCACGTGGGAAGATGCGTGCGGGGTTTTCTTTAATTCATTCACTTAACTAGGTTAACTATACAGTCAGTGTACAGTTAACTAAGTGAAGTGAATAAAAGAAGGAACTACGAGGCTCGTAGTCCCTCTGTGGCGTATTTCAATTGTACGCCCCATGTACTGCTATATTAGTTTAGATAAAATGGCTGCTATATTTGATGGAAGCACTGCTCAATATCACGCGCTGCTTATTGCTCCGCTCTTAAATAAAGGTACTTGCAAAAGATAACTTATAACTTACTTGAATTATTTATTACCTTCAATGTGCTCATTCTGCATCTATTACAACTTAAAACCCCTTTGTTATCATCGTAATTCAAGCCCCTTTCTGAAGCTTCCTTTACAATATAAGAGCGAAGTTTTACATATATTCAGGCGAAAGCAACATTGTTGGTCCTGTGTACAAAAAAAAAAACTTCTATAGACCTATTAAATGTTTGTAAACAGTGGTACAAGTGCCGTCGACATACTGAGACGCTTGTAGCGACGTCGCGCTGCGTAGGCTCCGCGCAGCCCAAATCTTGCCGCCACATTCTATCATCACGTTAAAACTGGCACAACAGCTGCGAAGCTGCCTCCGAGCCTCCGCCGCGCTGTGCTCCGAGGAAGCTTCGCAGCTGCAATGGCAGTTGTCACCTGAATATAGTGGGTGGTGGCGAGATTTGGGCTGGGTGAAGCCTACGCGGCGCAACATCGCTACAAGCGCCTGGGTATACCGACGGCACTTGTACTGCTGTTTACAATCATGGAAATAGCTGTACAGCGCGCGTGTCACAGAAATTGGGTAAGCTCCACTACTCCCCACAGGTCCCACAGATAAAAAGGAAAGACATGGGGGCAAGATTTCGTAAGAGAAGTAAGCAATAATTGATGAATACTTTAATCAACCGTCGAAATTAGCCCCGTGATAAGACACCGGGGTTGCATTCTTTATCGTCACTGATTAAAAATTTGTACGGTGCGCTTGGGTGGTGATTTTTGTTGCTGTGGCCACCTGGCTTATAACCTCGGAGGAGCTTGACCACAGTAGAATAAATGAAGTACCGAACACAAACACAAAAGGGACTAAAAACTAACAAAATGAAATAATAGAAGTAATACCTGATGTAACTGAACCGCAACGAATTTCCATAGAACTTACGTGGCAACATCCTGAATCATCATCACCGTATTTTTCCACTTTCCGCCTCAAAACCGAGCACTTGGCGAGTGGAGGAGAACGAAGAAATAGAGAATACCACGCGCAATATAGGTGAACAAGAAGAACAGCGAGGTGGCTTCTTCTGCAAACCTACGTCATGGTAAGTGTTTTTCGGCATTCCCTATGACAACGCACCGCGACAAGCGTGGAATGAAATCGTTGTAAAGGGGTATGTATACTCGAGATGTCTCGCCCGGTCGAATGCATGCTTCGCCCCATAAGGCGTTCATGCCAGGTCGGGCTGTGAGCTTTCTCCAGGAGTCATTATGTGGTCAGTAGAATGTGTGATTACCCATTACACGCATGTACTATGCAGAGAATGGAGACATACATTTGATTGATTTGTGGGGTTTAACGTCCCATAACCACAATATGATTATGAGAGACGCCGTAGTGGAGGGCTCCGGATCTTTTGACCACCTGAATAGAAGCATAAATCTCAAAGGCTCTGATTCGCTCACTGGATTTCGTGCCGACCGGTTGTGCCCTCGCGATCACCGATGACAGCGTTGCTCTGGCCGACTGAGCTCGCCCTACGCCACCTCCTGACGCCGACAAGAGCTCTCGCCAGTGGTGCCCCGTCGTCAGACTCCTGTGACCGTCTCCATCTTTCTTATCTTCTCCTTACTTCCGTCGTTCGCTGTTCCTCCGCCTCGCTCTCTTCTTCCTCTCTCTCTATCTCTTTACTTTTTAATCCTGTCCTTTTAATCCCTCCTTTACCCCCCCCCCCCCCCATCGTGAGCTACTGTTGAGGTGTCCTCCCCCTGAGAGACAGTTACGGGGCTTACTTTTCTTTTCAGTTAAAATCACTCCCCCCCCCCCCCCCACCCCTCAACGGCTCTGAGCACCGGGTCGTTTTGCTAAGCTGGACTCAAAGCTTAAGATCCGCATGCCCGTCACGCGAATATGCAGGGACCGCAGTATAATTTAAACCCTCAACCCTAGCAGTTTTCCAGGTGAGCTTAGGTAATTTATTAGGATTGACTAGTTGGCCAACTTGTGACGCATTTCTTCGAACGTAACAACTGTAAAGTATTCACTGGTCCAGTTTCAGTGCCTACTAACGTAATGCACATCATATCGCATAATACATTGGATATCCTATTGCTCGGCATGCCTTCAGTTCTTTCAAACATACGATGTAGGCAGTCTAATCATTGGCAGCCATATTTCGTGTTAGCGCTTAGTAGCTGTGTACGTTCTTTCTTACAGACATAAAATTGATTTATACAACAATATAGCCTAACACAGTCAACAAGGTGGCACATTAGTCGAACATAATAAATGAAGACACGAAGACAGGAAATATGCAGTTTTTTTTTATATTTCGTGCAGAACCTAACGTCATCCAGAACAATGAAGCACGGCCTAGAAGCAGTATATATCATCTTTTATAGTTGCCGTGATAAGCTTGCCTCAATCGCACCTGTAGGGCTTTAGCGATAGTAGCAGGGTGTAATCACAAACGTTTCCCTTAGAGTTTTTTTTTTTTTTACAGGCACACTTTCATAAGCAATATTTGGAAATAAACGAAGCACATGGTGCTTAGTAAGTATCACATGACGGTGACGTGAAATGCAGCTAAGTAAAGCATAGGGGAAACAAACTTCCTTTATTATCAGTGTCTTTATTGGGGTGGGTAAGATATATATGAAACATACAGCTATCAAAAGCTTGTCCTTTCCGCATAATTTCACAGTTGAGTGTCGAGTTCGCCGTGTTATGAGCCACCACAACAATATATTTACGAGGCAAGCCATAGAGGGGAGCCGCGTATTAATTTTGATCATTGGGAGTTATGCGAAACCCTGATAGCATGGCGGGTTTTCTCTCCCTTTTTTTTCACATGATTGAAGTATTCCGCACTGATAGTAGCGCACAATCGATATCGCCTGTTCACAGCCGTGCCTTTCTACGGTGTGCAAAGGAAGGCTCGCTGTGCGTCGCCTCAAGTACGCGGTCTTCGGAACCTGGACTCTGGTGGCGTTCTTCGCTGTCAACTACGCCGTGATGCGAGTGTGCGTCAGCGACATGGGCTGGCACGTTGAACAGCGAGACGTCATACCACGCGTGGTGGGCACCCGCGGGTTCCCCATGCTGCCGCGCGTCGCCTGTCCGCGTTACCTGGCCGTCGTCGTCTGCAGCGCCGTGGACAACTTCGAGCACCGAGCTGCGATACGTGTCACGTGGGGTCGCGACGTCAGCGCCGACAAGGGTACCGCCGTGTTCTTTCTCGTCGGCAAACCCGGTGACACGGTACGAGGCACATCTTTGCATATTCCTTTCTTCCTTTCTTATGAAGAGTTGTAAGCATAGGTCGGTGAACTCATTCGTGAGTCGACTCGGCGAGACTCACTCAGACTTAGGTCAAGCCGCGAGTCTGCGTCTGAGTAGGTCCCGGTGAGTACTGTTTTGGCGAGTCCGAGTGAGTCCGGTTGAAACAAATATTTAGTGAGTTTGAGACCGAGTGAGCCCTGAGTGCAAAATGAATTGCTCGAGTGTGTCTTGAGTGTGTCTGAGTGAGCTTTACATTATTTTGCCGTATATGGTTCCTCTTACTGAACTTCAGCGTTATTATCAGCGTTGCATCAGCTCGCGCCTATTCCCAAGCCGACTCAGACATACTCCAACGCACCAGCGTTCATACGCCAGCTCAATATTTATTGATGAGAGGCGTGAGTTACTGAGGATCGGGCGGGTGCTCCGGGGTCTTTCCCATCCCCTGAAAGCTTTCCCGAGAATTCTTAGTAAGAAGATCTCGTGTGAATTATCTATAGGAGTAAAAATGCCCGTACTGGACTGCAACTACTGATATCATATTTGAAGGTACGAGATCAAAAGGCGACAAGTACAGCACTGATTACGCGACCTACTGGTGGTAAATAGCATTAACACCATGTTCAGAGAAGCCAATTGTACGCTGACGGACGCATAGGTCGGTGCACTAAGACTCACTCGGACTCAGATGGAGTCGTGAGTCTGAGTCTGAGTCCAAGGGAGTAATACTTTGGTGAGTCCGAATGAGTCCGGTTGTGGAAAATTGTGGTGCTTCTGAGTTCTAAGTGAGTTCAAAGGGCAAAATATATTTCATGAGTGAGGCTGAGTAACCTCCACTTATTTAACCAACCTATGGTTGTAGGTTATAGTGGATACAAGTGGTTTGCGTCCCACTTGCGCACGTGTGGTGGTGTTTCCCGAACTCAGGCTTGAGTGCATACGTACTGTACGTGCGTGTGATCCCGCCACGGGAGTTCAGGCGACATTGGCACCACACACAATGCAAGTTTTGTAAGTTTGCAAGTTTTGCTTTTGTCGTAATCGGCAGGCGAGACCATCTGGTATTGTCGAGAAAGTGTTGTAATAGATAAAATGTGTCCTTTCCTCGTAACTGACCTTGCCAATTATTAAAGCGCAATTTTATCCGCAACCATCCCTCACAGACTTCACGCTGGCCGAGGCTGCTGCTGCTTCTTTGCCTTCAGAGTAGCTAACACAAGTAGCTAGCGCACATGAACTTCTTTAGTCGGTTTATGTGCATACTACTACCACTACAAACAAGTGGTTAAACTTGGGTGGCATTCGCACCAGCGACTGACCTAAGTCCGTGACTGGCGACCCATATGTTGACATCGGCGGATGCAACATGCCGTTTGTGACACCCGTGATCGCTTCTGTCTACGTCTGATTCGTTGCCAGCACAGGCATGGTCACGTAATTCAACTCTTTACTTAATCCGACGTCGCTCTCCTCTGCCGTTGACTGGTTTAGCAGCTTTTTTGACCCCATTCGTGGAGCTGGAGAATGGTTAGTGGGACTTCACTAAAACTGACGCTTTTCGGTGAAAGTGACCATTTGCCCATTTGCGACCATTTACGACCAACCCGGTCGCGCGAACCCTGTCCGTCGTCTGTGTGCAAGCGCCCTCGAATATCTTCACTGAGACAAATATTACTTTCTTCAACTGCGGGCATAGTTTATTGAACCCAATATTTTCGTACCTTCTTTTCCTGCGCCGCTCTTTCGGTATCTGGCAGTGTACAAAACGGGCCAATCCTCCCGAAGATAAAAGTGGTGGTAAAGTGAGCCGGCCTTAGGTACTGTGTCATACCAAAAGAGGGATGACGTCGTCTTTAAGTCTTGCCCCGCAGGCTCATAAGCTCTGTGCAGCAGAAGTCTGCCTCTGCACACCACGAAATATCCTCCATTGTTGGTTACAGTGCTCGGTGACTGCGTTAAATTACTGCGTAAGAGTGGCATCGAAAATCTTCCATGAGGGCTTGCCGCATTTTACCTGCTGGGAAAGAAAATGATCCATTCTAAAATTTGCCAACGGAAGCAGCTCAGTGACTGTTCTGTAGTTATTCATTTATTTTTTTCTCTTAACTCGAATTCGAACGTGATGAGGCAAGCGCGGAGACGTTTGTTTCGACAAATTTGAGTCACAGGGCACAATTAATAAGCAGTGCTCACTGTCGGTCGATAGTTGGTCTTGCATTATCACGGTGCTTACCTAAGTACGGATTAATGAAACGCGAAATGTTCACGAAGGCCTGGCATTTACGCGTCTTGGGACATATCTTGTGGAGAGGCCGCGCAATCAAGCCACGCCGGAGAAGATAAACAGGAAAAGTGCCTGCAGTGGCGTGTGGCCTCGGCGCGTTGTCTACTGTAGCTCTATAAACGGAAAGCACGCTTGGAAAGCTTGCGAAACGCACACGGCGTGTACTTACAGCTATAGCTGCAATCAGCTCGTCCCGTGCTTCTCAGTGCACGCCTCCGTTGTTTGTTCAAACAAGCGGGAAAAGTATACAGCGAAACAATGGCATGCACATAACGACTGGTATGACTGCTGTGATCGCACTTTATCCTAAATCTAAATAAAAAGAGGGCTGTGCCTCCTGCCATTAAAAGCAGACCAACTTTAGATAAGCATAACATACATAGCCGAGTAGCTTTACGTTTCATGCGTATATACAACGTTGTAAGTGTTCTGGCAGCACCCATCTCCTGACGCACAGTCATCGTTATAATATAGTCATTATTGGGATTTATTGTCCCAAAACCAGGACATTGTTTTGAGGGACGTCGTGGTGTGGGGGGATGCGGAAATTTAGACCCCCTGGGGTGATTTAACTAACACCGAAATCTTACCACCCAAGCCTGAAGCCTTTTCGCCACCATCGCGAATGCGGCCGCCGCGGCCGGAATTCGATCCCGTGACCTTTGGGTCACCAGTCGAGCCCCGTATACCCGCTGGACCACCGAGGCAAGTACAGTCTGCGTTCGGCGAAATGTTTCGGGAATGCGGCACTTAGATATTCGTGGTACATGTCGCTAGTGCCCGAAATCTAAAAGCCCAGCAGTCCCTTCACTTCTGAGTTGAACAATAAAGAGGCTCTGCACACATAAGTCAAAAAAACGTGCCCGCATTTTTTTTTTACCAATAGCAAGCTAACAGCTATAGGATTCTCCCGATGTTGTTCTTGCTTTGTGCAAGTTTAGGTATCACCAAAGCGCAATACTGTTGTTTATGAACTGTAGTCAAGAAAAGAATATTGCTGGAGCCACAAGAAGACGAAGTCTCCAAAACGTCATCTTGGTTCGTTGTCCGTACAATCGAACCTCAACTTTTTGTGAACTTCCGTCGCATATGAAGTACGTGGGCCCGATTTTCGTAATGGTTGTTTTCATAGCATTCTTTTTGTACTATAGGTGACTGGTACGCAGAAACGCGCGCCCATTGGATCGCCGAGAGGCTGTATGGATCTTGGGAAAGAAATAATATAGAGAGAGAGCAACGCAGAAACGTGTGCGTGGTATCATATCTAATAGATATGATGACGATTATTATTATTATTATTATTATTATTATTATTATTATTATTATTATTATTATTATTATTATTATTATTATTATTATTATTATTATTAGAATACGCATGACGCATACTCTCTTCCTCGTGCTTATATATCTTCTGTAATAGTTTGTCCCAACGGAAAACGCAACAAATGAATGTATAGGTACGTTACTCCATAATTAGGATTAACGTAGTCGCAAGCACCCCTCACTTGGTCCCACAAAAATGATACGATGATCATGTTCTTTTCCTAATGAATGGTGATCGTATAGTGACTTTGGCGACGGTTGTGATGGAGGTAATCAATGTCCACGAGTGCTCTGCATTCCCTTTGAAAGTGAGGAGCATAAAAGCAAGAGAAAGCACGTTCGCTGGTAAACACGGCTGTCCATTTTTGACTGGCTTACAGCGCTAGAGGGACGAGATCGAAGTTCAAAGAAGGGGATGACACGAACGCTTCTTTGAATTTCGACCTTGTCCTTTTAGCTCTGTAAGTTGATCAAAAAGTGAACTATCGCCGAAAAGCACAAATTTCCCTTCAAACAAAGCTGTGTTCTAAAGTGCGTATACCAGCTCACACTACCCAAATTGACTCTCTCTGTCTGCCTTCTACATTTCAGCCCAAAGGTCAATACGTGCAGAGCAGGTTGAATAACGAAAGTGCGCTCCACAAGGACCTCATCCAGGCGGACTTCCGCGACACCTACCGTAACCTGACCGTCAAGAGTGTGTTCATGCTCAAGTGGGCCTACGTGAAGTGCTCGAGAACTCGATTTCTGCTCAAAGCGGACGACGACATGTTCGTAAACGTGGAAAAGCTTATGCGCTTCCTCAAGGCATACGGCGAAAACCGGACACGGTAACGGGCAAATTATGGCTCACGTGTAGAGAGATGGAGCACTTGAGTTTTGAAATCGCGGTGTTTTTTTTTTCGCTCGAAATTCGTGTTTTCGCGCAGCCTAAAAGACCATTTAATTCGCTTTCATCATTGCCTGGCACTATAATCTATCTGGTTTCAGTTAGTTTCTACCCAAGGAGTAATTTCTTTCACATTTTTTTTTCATCACGTATATGAAAAAAACGTCGCTTCACCATAATATCACAAAATAATACAAATGCAATTTTTTTATTTTTACATACGCACAGGTAAATAGACCATGTGGAGAATAAGGCTATCTATACCCATAGATATTTACTGTGTATGCAATCATATTTTTTGTTGATTGATACATCCACGCTTAAAGGTCACGTCTATAGCTGTAATGTCACATAGTGTAAGCATCCGGATCAATTTCGGTCACTTACGTTTATGTAACTGTCACACACTTCGGGTGAGGCCCCGCCAATCCAACATCGACGTGCGGCAGACTCACAGGCTTCCACTTTACGCTTCGACCTGCGACGCCTGAAAGGCCTCGAAGTGGCACATTTCGAATTTATTTGCGGGTTGGTCGACCCATGCGGGGTTGCACGTGTGGTGATGTGTGGGCCTGACCGACGCACTCATAGAGCAGACACGGAGTTTGATTACACATAAACAAGCATTTAATTGAAACAAGGGCAAAGGCAGGAGATTACAAAAATAACAAAGGAGGAAAACTGATACGCGCGATAGAAACAACAGCTACATAACAAAATGGGCTAAAAACACTACAAAAGATACAGGCTAAAGACAAATATGCGGAACATTAATAAAATAACAACAAGATGGGAATCAAAGGAGAGGGATACAAGGAAATAATTACACAAGGATCATGATGGCGCTTTTGAATTTCAACGTGGGACGCAGCGCACACAACTACAAATGTTTAAAGAAAAAAAAAGACTGGTTAAAATAAATTAACGGTTTAAAAAAAGTCACAATAAAAAGTTCCATACGGACCAGGCCAGCTCTTCGTGCACGTAGGGGAGTTGACGGGTGCCGCTGAAGGTCTCGCCGGCTTGGTAGACGACGAGGGTGCCCGGAATTGCAGCCGTCTCAATACGTTGCACGGGTCACTCCATGCTCGCCGCCTACGCGAGACTCGCGACACCGACGACCGCACTTGTTGCTGGCTGTACGTCAACTGCTCTTCCGATGCAGTTCAAACCTCCTCAGGGGCGTCCACGTGCTCCCATCTCATCTGGGAGTAATTTTCCTTGTTGAGACCACTGGTTTCCCTTCCGGTCAGGGGCAGGGAAGACGAGCCGGCGCCACGCTGGGTCGTTATAGTCGCCGGATGTCGCCTCCCAACACAAAAACGCCCTTCCTTGGAAGATGGGGCCCGTGGATGCTCCGAAAATTGGAGTCGTTTGTGACAGTAACGTTTATGCATAGTGTCAGCAGAACATTACTCAATAGCCATCGAAGTTCACCAGTGTATACACTGAGAATTGAACTGCTTAACCACGTGTCCCACAGCGAAGTCCCACAACTATTGATTCTATACTTATGGTTCCCTGGAAGTACTTTGCACACATTCTGTGCACTCGTTCTGACGCACTCGTGACGCTGTTGTTGATCACCGATGTCTAACCCTTAGGCCTCGCTGGGTCCGACTCCAGGCCCTTCCTGGCCGGCTACGTCGCGCAGGGTCGGAAGACTGTCCGACGAGCCGGGTCCAAGTGGTACATGCCACTCGCCGTGTACGAACCGGACTGGCTGCCGTCGTACATTCACGGCAGCGGCTACGTGGTGTCGCGCGACGCGGTGCGGCCCCTCTTCACCGAAGCACTTGCGACGTCCTTCCTCTACGTCGAGGACATCTTCCTCACGGGCGTCGTGGCGCAGAAGGTGCGCAGGGCCGTGCTCCATAGCTACAAAGTGGCGAGTTGGGATAATTGGTAGTAGCGAGTTGGGATAGTTGGTAGACCCTCTTGCTTAAAAGGTTAGTTTAAAACACGCAGAATATGGGTACAATGGAAGTGGACATGACTGCTCTTACACTCACAACTCATCCTGTATTAGGCTGGAAAAAAATCATAAAACTTAGGATACTTGAAGCTTGACACACGCGTAGAAGAGCAGGCCTGGCACTGAAACAGACATTTGTGCCATGATTACTACATTTTATTTTACGTTATACATAATTCATTACTTATAACAATCACCACGTGTCTACATGGATGCACTCATTACCAGGTAGCACAATCATAACTTGGCTAAAGCAGTCGCGTCCCCTTTTCCCGATATGGAATGATTCCAACACCTCGATAATAATTTGAACTTTACGCCAAAAATATTTTAAGTATCACGAAACATGGGATGACATCCACATATTTTACAATAAGCAGATACATGAGTATTACTTGTTGAATTTTTATGCGTGGTGAATCCTACGGCGAAAATTTGCAAAAATTTGCTCACTGTGGTGTGCACTTTACGACAAGAAAGGTTAATCATAAACCACCCCCGTTACTCACTCAAAACACTTGTTGTGGTGTTTTACAAAGCAAACTGTTCAGTCTTTTGGCTTATTAACGCGCTAACATGAACTTGCTAATGTATACAGCTCTGCCGTGCGTGAGTCACATTCGTCCTGAACACGACTGTGACAATCATACGGTTCTAAACACATGAAAAATTCACAAGGCTTTTTCGAATGATATAATGCAGGCTACATCAGGAATCTGCCAAAAGCAATAACTTTAGATTATTATAAATACACGAGGACATTTCTCATACTTTATAGTGATGTCCTGCAGTGCATGATTGGCGTACTTTATATAATGAGTGAGGTTTATACGGGCGTAAACAGTTTGTCTAAACAGATTATGCGGAATGGACCCTCATTAATAATACTAAAAACTGAAATTTGGTTGAGCTGGCACACAGTATTCGCTTTTGTGAACAATTCGGCGTTCACAAACCTTTCAGAACTCAAAACGAAGTAACGCACAGAGTCCTTTGTTTCTGTGTTTCTTATCACACGTGCTCGCTGAATTTCACGATAACATCAAGTATTACTAGATCAATGGAAATTGCAGGTGCCTTGCTTAATTTACATCTTTACTAAATCTCATATATTAAATCTGGTTTTGTGAAGACCCGATAGATAATACTGGCGTATAATATATGATAGTTATAAGTAGCCCAATTTTTTTCTGGGATCAATAATAATAGTATGGCTACTTTTTCGTAAAAGAATACCTTAACGAATTCTGATGCTGGACGCATAATCAGAAATCGGCAACTCCGTGGGAAAGATCATTTACGAAATGATCATTTACGAAAAGCTCGTCCTTCCCCTCTCTCCCTCCTTTGATCTACACTTGTGTTTCTTTTGTATGAAAACACAAGAACCCTACAACAAATCCGTTTGAGCGACCCGGCAAAGTGATCAAGTTCCATGCCCCGAACACTCTTTGAATCTCCGTTCAACTAACGTTCGACGCATTTATGTCGCCCTTGAGCTATATATGAGCATCGACACCACTGTGTCCTGACGGGCATAGGAAGGCGTCGCGTGATCGCGCGCTTCCAGCATACTATACATGCCGTTCGTATCTACAACGGCATTATATTCACAAACGCCCACCTTCCTCACCGCCCTTTGCCTTGAGCGTTCGCAGCGCTTCAATAGCGTGCTCCGGTGGGTGAGTACGTATATGGGCGTGCTCGGATGACGTGTGGCTTGAGAAACTCCCCTTGGCTGCAGCGCCTCTTTCTGTTGGGCGATAAATGTGTCTGATTAGGAGTTTATATAGCACAACTATCGCCGAAGGCACAGTCGCTGAAGCGCACGGATTCCACATTACTCGAGGATCCGCCTGTTTCTTTTATCGACTTATTTGATGAACAGAGTCAACCCGAACCCTCGGGTAGTTGAGACTATATATATGACCGTGGCACACGAAACTTCCTCGATGCCATTGGTGATCGCATTTAAGCCACTGTAAAGCGTATGAGCTCAGTTATTCCGCCGAGTAACGAAGCCTTGTTGTGAAATTTTAGCAAATTAGCGTCTATATGTCTATGTGGACTTGTTTTCGAGGAGTAAACAAGCAAAGTACAGGTGATACGCAGACATGGTGCAAACACAACTCATTTAGCATTACGCCTAAAGGGCTAAACAGTTCAATTCGAGAGCCCTGCATGCTAAAACCAAGATATTATGAGGAACGCCTTATAAGAGGTACTGTGGATTATTTCAACCCAAAGTGAATGCATCTAAACCCACGAACACCGGAATTTCGGTATTTAGCACCCATACAAATGCAGCAGCTGCAGCTATAAATCGAACCCGCGACCACGCTTGATGGCTGTGGCTATAGAAGTGAAGCCCCTTTAGGTGGAAGGTAAAACGATTCTAGTATGTGCAGCTGCCCAGATGATATTTAATGTACGCATTCCAGCAGTTAGGGCCACGTTTCTTCGAATAACTTCCGCTACTGCTACCTAAAGCAACGACCATGCGCTGAGATTGATCGTCCCGTACAAACTACGTGACTCCATTGAAATCGTCACTTGTGTTTTGTGATAGCCTCAAGGACCACCTATATGTGCCAGGAACGTGGTCGCCATAGGTGCATGGTGGGCGCGCAAGTCTGCGAATTAGTTGCTTTACGTGCAGCGGGTGCCATCATTTGGGCCTTCGCGCGCCGTAATTCTGATCGATTGTTTTATAATAAGCGGCATATTACGCAGTGCCGGAAAGAATCGGTGCAGGAAGTGCGATTGTATGTGCGTCCGAGAGAGCCAAGGGAAAAGGTATAGATATCGCCTAGGGGAGCTGTCCGCGTTAATGCGGTGTCTGTGCCTGACGATCGTACACTGTAAACAAAAATAAACCGAGATGGGAGTAAACGACTTCTCTTCTAGCGCACGTCCCGATGGGTGTTTTATAAACACCGTACGGAGGGACGGTTTTTATAAAATCCTCATCAGGGCAATCGGAACTAACATTCGCGTTAGTCGTTTGACAGCTGCGGTCGCAGAAGGAAAGATACTGTTATTAGATGCGATGCAGCTCTTTGAATAGCCTGCGTAACATTGTCCCTCCATCCACACTGCTCACCTCACTGCATGTGTTGGAGCAGTGGCAAGTGGCTAACGCCCTCTTAGCAGTGCATGGTAGCGTCTCTTTCTCACGCCCGCCGCGCGCTTGCCACGTGTCAGCTCTTCCTCGCTTCACCCTCTCCACCGCTCACAACACTCGAGCCCACTCCTCACGCGGACATAATCTCACCCGTGCCTATATGTCTTTTACCATCGTTTTTACCAACTAGAACTTTTGCCAACTTTTTACCGCAAGCTGGCGCTGACGGGTACGTGCGCTGCGCGCGCACCAAGAATCTGGCGGTGCCGGCAATGTGAACACCGCGCCGCTGCTTGCCGCGCGATGACGCCGACGGGCGGGACGCCGTCACGGCACGCTTCTCGCTAGTGTGCGCGTACCTTTCCCGGCTGTCGCCGGCGTTACAAGGGTTAGCTATGGTTAGCAAAGCCGATCGTGCTTGCGAACGGCGACGTAAACACCGACGAGTTGCGAGTCAGGGAAGCCGAATGCAAGCGTTGGCAGTGGAAGACCAGCGACACCGACGAAGCGCGAAAACGCCGATCGCGTCGAGAACAGAGACGGCGAGTGGGTAACACCGACGAGAAGCGAGCCGAGGAAGCCAAGCGCAAGCGTCTTCAACGCGTCCCTCTTCCCGTGTCTTTGCGTTTCAAACATGTGTTTACTCCAGTAAACGACACAGAGTCTCGCTTCGAACCGTTCTACCAGCACCTGCGTCGACGCCCGTTTCAACCGGGTCTACGCCATGCACACCGCTGCTGCTTCGCATCCCATCAGGGTTCCCTTCGGGGAGATGGTCCATGATTTTTTTTCATTCCAGCAGCCTTTATATTCTGTGAAACACATTCTTTGCCCTGCCGGTGGCCAGTGCTAGCTTGTAGAGTTCACCACCGGTCGCCGGGCAGCTTGTAATAGTCGAGCGGAAGCCTACTTCAGACGGCTTCGAAGTGTTAGATGGTGAAACTACAAGATCGACCACTGAAGATCGCAACAGCTTACTTTTGTGAGCATTAATTTATTCTTTGAAATGTTTTGTGACTCGGCTCTTTGAAGCGAGGCATTCGCGGCGTTTCGTTGAGGAAATGGACAGATGTCCAGCGTGGTTCAACGGTGCGATATAACTTGAAACGTTCACACTAAACACCAACCGGTCGTTGCAAATCTTCGCTACACTGATGATTTCGTCACCTGTCGACAGATGCTCACACGGTCGCTATGCACACAAAGCACTGGTGTTTCACACCGACGTGTTGAACGGATGCCTGTTCACACACACGCACGCGCGTATGTCCCGACCAAACAGGGTTTTAAAACTACCATAGGGAGTTTGTAACTACGTGACCTGAAACTCCGTGGGGCGTTTAACAAGGTTATGTCGTTCATAAACTCCGTCACTAAGCAATGGGCCTTTTACGACGACGTGTGCCTTTAGTTCACTCGGCTACCAGGGAGTAAATAAATAATTGGGGCAAGGGACGTTATGGGGTTCATATGCTGGAGAACTCCCATCTCGGCTAATTTTTGCTTGCATATGTAACCGAAGCCAGTGACGTAGCCGAGGAAGGAAGGGGACGTTGAAAATCTCTCAAAAATCTTCAGTTTTACTTGCATATATGTGCACGCACACATACAAAGGCACGCACGAACATGCATGAAGTATGGTTGAACATGCCGCCCTCCTCCCGCCGAAAAACATTTCTGGCTACGCCCCTGGCCACGGGAGACGCTACATCGTCTCTACGAGTGAAGCCTATACTGAGAAACGTACTTTTTATAGGCTTTGTTTTTCGCGGGAGAATGTTTGTTAGAGTGTTATACAACAACAGCGCACATTGAACGCTAGTAATTCATGCTATATATCAGGCTGTACGTAACGTAACACATTTCCATTTAACGTATGGTAACACAAACCTCCAGAGAGATGGAGAGCGAGGATGCACAAAAGAGGCGTGGAGTCACGAATCAGGTGTGAAAGTGCCAACGCATACGTACAAGTTCAATACATCTTGCGAAACATCGGGCCTTACCATATAGCGCGCACGTAGCCACAGAAAGGCTATAATGTGGGGAGCGTGAGCAGAAAGATAGAGGGAGTGAGAGAAAGAAAACCAGCCGTGTTCCTTTTCGTAAATAATCTCTATAGGTTTGCTTTCATGCGTTATTCTAAAACTCTTTATTAAGGGAGAAAATGGTGGCCACCTCATTGCCCTAACTTTCTCTCTCTCTCGCTCTTATGAGAAAGTCTTACGAGAGAGTCCTTATAATGTGAGAGGAATATCTTCTCAGAGTTTCTGAGAGAGAATGTTTATCTGTCTGACTCTCTGAACAAGAATCCCTATGAGTGCTCTTGTCAGAATTGTGGTGCTGTCGTGTTCACTGCTCGACGTTCCCCGAAACCTTCACATTTTTTTAATCGCACACATACAATGCGTACACATACCAAACACGCACATGAACACGTATACCTTCCGCAGAAATGTTGGACTAGAACTTTCACAAATATCACTGAACACTTCGCGTATCAATTATCTCACAAAAGCTTCCCGCTTGAGGTCGAAATCCTACTCGCATGTTTTTTTTTTGTTTTTTTTTTTGCAGGCGAATGACTAAAAACGAGGCTTTTCTTGACTGTGCTGGGAAGTTTACTGTGGTATTCACGGCTAATTTGCATAATGATTGAAAGAAGTGGCACAAGCAATATATAAAAGGTCCTTCTCTGCTTTTTTTTTTTTTCAAACGATGCTTCTGTTGATTGACTTGTAAAGCTGGTGTTCAAAAAAACCCCTCGCCCACGGCTGGACCACACCAAAAAATAGCAATAAAAAAACAAAAGTTTCCTATCCGGGGCTAGTGTTGGAACCCAGCGCTATTCACGGCATGCAAGTGGCAAGTTCACTCTTCGGTTGGTCCTTCCAAGATCAATGGCGCTCCATGTATGACGACCTCCCGTACTTCGCAGGTGGGCATCGAGTTGACGAACTCACGCTGCTTCATCCCCCACTCGGTATGGCATCCTTGCGACTACCGCAACTTCATCTCGACTCACGAGTGGGACCTGGAGCAGCTGCAGATCGCCTGGCAGAGCGTTCACTATGGCGGCGACATCTGTCCTCCAGCCGACGAAAGTTTGCTTGCGTGTTCTTACGCCCACATGCCGAAGAAGGACGCGTTTCTCTAGCCTGTGTTATGGCACGCACGTTAACTTCTGTTACCGTATAGTTACTACATGAACGATTGACGTTCAACAAAGTGCGCGTAGGATTGAGTGCTCCGGTGAACGACAAATGTGTCGCAGGATTTTGGTGGTGGGGGTGTTGCTCCTGTTATTGTTGTTGTTTGACCCCCGAAGAGATGGTATATGGTCCGTTTAATTCCTCATATTTTAACGTATACTGATGCTTCGATCATGAGAAAATAAAATCGAGTAAAGCGAATGTTAGTTGCATCACTATGGAATAGTAGTCATAACCACAATTTGTAACCACGAATCTCTTTAGCAAATCGTTGCTTGTCCCACGAGCCAAAAAAAACTATCATCTTAAGCGGCTATCTGCCACAGAAATTGGGTAAATTTCATGACTCAGCACTGGTTCACGAAAGATGAAGAAGGCATTGATTGACCCAACAAACTACTGTGAAACGATGACAGTGAGCCAAAGACCCCGAATGCGTAACACGAGAAGATACTATATGGGAAGGGGGAAGGCAGCAGCGGCTGTGAGAAGATTCCGAAGCAATGGATGGCCAGCGCCAACAACGACGAGCCAGCAGATCTACGAGAGGCGGAAGCACTTTGTCTCAGCTCGAGTTTCTTTCTCTGGAGTTTGGACAACCGTGTCGTGTCTGTGACTCAACTCAAACCTCTCTGTGCACGATAATCAACGTAGAAACCACGGAGTGTGTAGCTAAAGCTTATCAACAGCCTAAAGAAGTAACATAGAAGCCGCATCACCTACCCAAGGTCTACACAGACAACCTTGATGCAACCTAATTATTCTTTACAATCGTCCGTTTTCGCTGCTTCAAGCCTTGCGCCGCCTAGCGTAAGTTTCGCCAGTGTTTTTTTTTTTCTTTTTCTCCGGCACTTTTTATGCTCCCACCTTTTTTTAACGCTTTCTATACAGTCATTCCAAGTACATCCATTTTCCTTTTTTTGCTATGATCCAGTCCATTTTTTGCCATAATCATGGTATCGCTAAAGAAAGAGTTCCGAAGTACACAATTTGTTTAGGACTGAAATGCTGCACAGTCGCCCCCCCTCCCCCTCACATCGCACGACCGTATAACACAGCCGAAGAGGCCGTTAAGCACTCGCCAACCAGAAGGGTGGGAATCCCGTCATCAAATCGCAAATAGCAGCACTCGCCTACTGGTAAATCAGTATCTCTAGGAATGAGAAAATATTTCTAAATCCTCGATGTCACGCCGACGTAAGAACACTAGTGTTATGATAGTAGAAGAAGCCGTTTCGAACCCGCCATTGTGAAATTGGCGCATATATAGTTTTGGAATAATTGGTCAGTTTAATAAATGATTACGTACTACGTAATCTTCGTACTACGTACTTCGAGAGCAAGCCCGCAATAATTCTTCTTCTTCTTCTTCTTCTTCTTCTTCTTCTTCTTCTTCTTCTTCTTCTTCTTCTTCTTCTTCTTCTTCTTCTTCTTCTTCTTCTTCTTCTTCTTCTTCTTCTTCTTCTTCTTCTTCTTCTTCTTCTTCTTCTTCTTCTTCTTCTTCTTCTCATGGCTCTTTCTCAATGCAGGAGATTGGCCGAGTGTTATGTGAATTTTTTTCTTCACAATACTACTCATATATGCTAGGGATAGGTTACACAACAAATAATTACGGAATAATAATATTTATATGTTTAAAAAAACGAAGAATTTATCTCTATATTCTTTCAGTCTTACTGATAAATTCCTCTATGGCGTTGTAAACATCCCTGTGACTGTAGCCCAGAGTAGAGGCGCCGAATGATAGAACAACTGATTCGGATATTTCCAGAGCCCACACTTTATTGCAGCCTGAGGCGAATTCATCCCCCCTTTTTTTTCACAGGTGTGAACTTAAGGGCTCGCTTTTTTTTTTAGATACAACATTATTGACAACTAAGAGACAGTGATGCCAAGAGAAGTGTACACAGAAGTGTATATATGTTGTCATCATTCTCTGTTACTTCCCATTAATTTCTTCTCACGAGCTTTTTTGAAGACGGCTACGAGGGAGAAATGCCTGTTCTTGGGTACGAATGTGCGTGGCTGGTCTCACGCGATACGCAAAACATCCAGTGAAGCGAGAGAAATTTCGCTACTTTCTGTGGTTTGATATCGCTATGGTCGGCAGTGTGAGGGTGATTTCTTACGTTCGGCCTTTCTACATTGAATTAACGTAATTTTGCTCTTTTTATGTATGTTTTATGCACTGGACGCGCCATCAAAAAAAAAAAAAAAAACCTCGCCGTTCACGTAAATCGCATGTAACCTCGTGCGGCATTTCTACGAGTACATGCATGAACTGACTTCTGGCCATCTGCGTACGTATTTAAATATCTCAATTAATGAATTATTTTTGGACTGTTACAACCCAAAACAGAGGTATGAATATAAGGAACGCCATTGTAGAGGGCTATGGAAATTTGGACAATCTGGAGTTTTTTTAACGTGCCCCTAAATCGAAGCACGTGGGCCACAACAGTTTCGCCTCAATCTAAATGCGGCCACCGTGGCCGGGATTAGATTTTGTAACCTTCGGATCAGTAGTGAAAGACAGTAAAAACTATCACGATGTATGTCGTGATTGCAAGACATACATCCCTTCCCTTAATTGGACATTTGTTACATAGTGATTGGGGGAAAAAAGCCTCTGTAATGAAATCATACCATCTGGAAGTTAGCGTGCAGATGAGAAGAACAGAAAAAAAAACACTCCAGTATTCCAACGGTTCGAGCATTTTTGAAATTTTATAGCTATACGCTAAGACGACCTGAATATGCTTTCATAAATGATCCGGACTCCTTTTTTTCTTGCCCATTGGCTAAGGTTTCGAACACCTCAAATTATTTTTTGTCCAGAAACAACTATAGACAGGATAAATGTGAAAACTTGAGATGTGCTTGCAGCGCAGGTTTCAAGGCGGAATCTTAGGATAGAACTCGATGAGATTTTCCCCTCTAAGCCCAAAATTCAGTCATACAAGGTCTTAAATAGCAATCTGCAGGATTATCTTGCACACGCAGAAACGAATAAAACCATAGCCACAGATGCGTCAGTGATGCACGATAAGACAGGTGTAGGTATATACTCCCATTCACTTGGCTGGTCTTTTTCATTAGGATTACCGCACTTCACCCCATTTTTTTGAAGCTGAATTGTTGGCAATAACTCTAGCGCTGGCGAAAGCTACCTTTGAACGCCGATAATACAATAATATTTAGTGATTCCCCGTGAGTATGTACGTCGATTATGGCGTCATCAAAATCTATGGCCTTAAAAACACTCCTTATGCCATAGTTCCTAATCAGCTGCAGCTATTGAAATTATTGTGGGTACCCGGCTATGGCGGATTAAAATTAAATTAAATCGCCGACTCTCTAGCACGAGCGTTATTGAATGGTCCAGTACTGTCGGTCCTTCCCGAAGTGGCCACAATAACTGCGGCAAGATACAGAAAACTTTCGCTTCGTGCAGATGCTATGGAATCAATAACATTATAGACAGAATTTACTCACTTAAAATGTTTGTGGAAAATTCAGTGGTGTCCTACAAGATGATTGGAAGTCACAGATTTCGATGCCATGCCCCCCCCCCCTCCCCGCTGAATTTCTATTCACACAGGGCTGGTCTGGCGATATCACCTCTATGCAACTTTTGTTCTGAACCAGAAACAAAGGAGCACTACTTTTTGTCACTCCATCAATACACATTGTTAAAAAAAAGCCTTTTAGTCATCCCATTCGCTAGCCTGGAGCTGAGCTTCCCAATTGAGAAAATACTTTACTTCGGTGCTTCGAATCTGGGCTTCAGCCTCGAGAACGCTTTTGATGTTGTTTGTACTTACCTTCATGAAACCAAACGAATTGAGCTTTTACTTGCGTGAGCAATATTTGTGCAGGAATAATTTAACATAAAAAAGTATTTTTGTTCAACCACGCTAACTTCTGTCCATGATAACGACTGTATTGTCTTATCTAACTGAACGAGTTACAAACAGTAATTGCACTCCTTCGGTTTTACGTACGTTTTTGTTGTTGTTGTTGTTGTTTTTGTTGTTGTTGTTGTTTGGGGGGTATAGTCATGAAATACAGTGAAGTCTCACTAAATTACATATTCAATTCTTGGCCGATCCCCCTGAGTGGGTATGAGCCATGGTTGTGGTTTTATCATCATCGTCATCATCCAGCACGCCCAACGGCAAGGTATAGTAGGCTGTCTTTTTTTTTATTTCTCAGTTTGCGGAATGGTGTGACATTATTATGGCACTCTGTTTCATGCCCAAGAGATTCAATTCTTAAATTTGCATTTAGATTACGTTTGCAACCCCTACGTTCATACCCTCCTCGACGACATCTGTTCAAGCAATGGAATCGTATGGCCTGCATAACGTACATGGCCTTTCTAGAGATTTTTTAACTACATGTGCATTTCCCTGCAAAAGTTGTTATTGTGACCGATGCTCGCAGTGCGATTACTGCTCTGATAGTTCGACATTGCTGGCTGCCTCGACTGTTTAAGATCGAGACCATTTTAGCAGATATCGCCGTACGGGCTGTTCAGATCAGTTTTGCTCTGTCGTGCGAATGAATTTCTTTATTTAATTGACACGTTTTTAATTTGTATGCTCAAATGCACGGTTGTTATTTTTACAGATGCTTAGAAAAATTATTACTGCAGGTTGTCCGCTGCATGTCGCTTAATTGCGCGTGCGCAAGCACGACGCTCAAAAGCGAAATAAAATATACGGTGCTGAGTGCGTATTTAGGCTTTTTTTGTTATTTTTGACAATTTACGACAGCTCCAAAAAACAACACCGTTTCTTTCTAATATGCATCATGTACAGTTAAACTTCGATATAACAAACTTCAGAATAACGAAATTCTTAATATAACAAAGTATTTTACCTTTCAAAACTATATATCCACAGAACAGCATGTATTTTGGACCTCAGTATGACGAAGCGTGTTTATACCTAATTTCAATATAACGAAGTTTCAATGCTGCCACCGAAGAAAGGGAAGGCGGCGTGCAGGGTCTGTCCTGAAAGCAGTAGGAGCGAATTTTTCAAAAGATATTTATTCACAGCTGTGACATACCAACCTAATAGTTTTTATGGTATGGTCCTTCTGTGTCACCAGAGCGTTTTCAGTGAATCTGCAAATCGCTGAAGACTCTTTGGAAGGCATAAACTGAAACGCTCTTCCGTTCCCTCGTCACGGCCTTTCGAATGGCCTAGATCGAGCCGCAGTGGCGTCTTTTCATGACAATTGGGGTAAGAAGAGGAAGTCTGAAGGAGCGACATTTGGGCTATGGAGTGGCCATGTAAGCTGTGTGATGCCCTGTTGGGTCAGGAAGTCAATGACAGCTAGGGCGGTGTGGCGCAGCGCATTGTGTTTATGGGGCCTTCGTGATTCAGCGATTTTGCATCAACTGATCTCAATCCTAAGTTTTCAGCCAGAATGTCTAGCGCAATTGTCTAACTAGTTTAATTGTCTTGATATCGTTCGCACACTGAATGTGTAGCAAGAGTGCAATGGATCTTTTTCATAATATTTTCGTCTCATGGCCATCCCAGAGCGTCCTATTGCTCATCTTCAACTTCATTTCTTCTGCCCCGAAACACAATTTGCCCCTCAAAAATAATTGAGCGACCCATGGCATATCTCTCCCATAAGCAGTCTTCGTCAAGTCACGGGTCTCACGTGCACTTTTACCCACTTTGAAGCAATACTTCCCCGCGTAAAACGCTTCCCTAACGAACGCTTACTTGTGGAGATGACAAGGCATCCTGAAAGAGGTTCCCCTTAAACTCGTTCTACGCTCCATGACGGCCCATAGAACACTGGCAACTGGTGGGCTGGTAGCTAAGACCTCAACCACCTAACCGGCAAAGAACATGCCTCTTCTTTATTAGGTTTTGATGGGAAAAATCAGTCCTATATTACTTTTGGTACAAACCTGCACGTATATTGAAACTTCGACGGACCCAGTAGTAATGTGGTTCGGTAATCAAAATGGTTGCCTTCCCTTTATTTGATTTTAGAGCCCATATCGTTAGGTTTAGTGGCGTGCGACAGTTATCGACGTTACGTGTTGATCGAAAAGCGTAGACAGCAAGTGCTTCGGTTCGGTGAACATAGGAGCATCGGCATGGCATTAATCCGGGCAAAGCCCGAGGTCATGTTGAGAAGTCGTGGCGGCAGGCCTGATTCCGTATAACCACAGTGATTCTGGCTTGAAGTTCTTTCGTGTTTTCACGCAATGCTCAGCCTCTGTAAAAATGTTTTCACCAACTCAGAATCAAGTCGTGGTAGCTGTGACTCAGAATCAACATAATATATTCATGTACGTCTTCGAAACTTGTTTTTTGTACTGCCGTATTGGTCAAGCATTCTTCTGGCGTTATCGGAAGAGCGCTTTTTGATGTTATCGGCATCATTATATTGAAGTTTAACCGTGTAAAACTGCGTGGGTGGGCTCCTGAGGCTCACATATGTGGTGCTGACCATGCAGATGGCCTGCGGGCGACGTGTACAACAGTTCGTACGACGTGTCGTAGTTTTCATTTGGTCCCTGCTGGCCGTGTGTGTGCTGAACTACGCGGTGCTGCGACACTGCGTGAGCGACATGCGCTGGCACGTCAGGCAACGCGACCAGACGCGCATCGTGGTGGGACCGGGCCGATTTCGCGCGCTTCCGCAGCTGCGCTGCCCAGACTTCCTGGCCGTCGTCGTGTGCAGCGCCGTCGACCACTTCGAGCAGCGCGCTGCTGTGCGTGACACGTGGGCACGGGACGCCGCGTCCGGGAGGTCCGGCGTCTTCTTCCTCATCGGCTTCGCCGACAACACGGTCGGTGCACTCTCTCAATGTCGTCTTGGGCTGAGCCACACGTAGTTTGTTTGAGATTGCTGAACAAGTATTGGCTGATCTGAGCGTTGTCGTTGGCAGAGCGAAGATGTCAGCATGTTTATACGGAGCAGGAGGGGTGCATATGCGCAAGTCCGTAAAAAAAAGTGGGAAAGGAGGACTGCGCACCGACGCTTGCCTATAGTATACATTATTGATACTATTCAAACGCCTGATGAGATGAAAAGTGGAAAAAAACTACCGATGTTGAAGCCCACAAAGTGGTTGACGAAAAATTCTTTTTGGCCTAGGGATCGAACCTTGTACCAACACTTATAACGGGCAATCGCTCTGCCAACTCATTCCTGGTTAGCTCAATCGGCAGAGCGACCACCTTAAAGAGCGTTCGTTAGTCGCGAGTTCAATCGCCATACCAGGACTATTTTTCGTCAACTAAAAAGTTCCCGTCTGGGAAATCTGTATGAATATCTTTGTGACTTTGTGCTACAACATGAGTGGTTGTCATTTCCTTTTTTCATACGACTATTGTGCCGCCTCCAGGGAGTCGGCAGGCCTAATTCGCAATGAGCAAAGGCCCGTGTGAAGTCAGTTGTGTCAAAGTAGGATTAATACTGGTTGGTCACGCTCTTTTTTTTTTTGCATCGTTGTATGTCTTTTCTTTCTTGGTCAGTCGTTTGCACTGTTTTTCAAGGACGGCAAATAACTACATTATAGTTCTCCGAGTACTATTTATCAACGGAAACTGACTCAATGTTTCACATTAGTGTTCATTTAGCTACGGTAATTTCTGTTGTCGCGATGGCAAGTTCTATGGTAACTTTCTACTAGCCTACGCGATCCCCCCTCCCCTCCCCACACACACACTACCGTTTGATACTCTGTAGTAGTACCCGCTGACAGGGTTGGCGTTGGTGGCTACTTTGCGACAAATCAACTACTTTTCAAGTCGTTTGGCGACGAAAATTTCCGGTTTGTGCCAGGGCTATTTACTGGATACATTTAAATTTCTGCTTTTACCTATTTAAAATAGCTTTATTTATTCATCAATAGTAAACACTCCATTCATAATGCCTCTACTGTCCTATTTGGCTACCAATTTTGCGATAATATCAAGTGGCATGGCTACCTTGGCTACATCTGGCTTGAGCTCTGGCGCCCTTTTCAATCCCACCTAACGGCTACTCTGCTCGCTTATGTGCTAAATACTTGGCGCATGTCTGGAATCAATATTCACGACGACATCCACACATGCAGCCGAGTGGAGTGATCGTGCAAGAGAGTGTAGCCAACGAGATCGCCCGCTACGGTGACATCATACAAGCCGACTTTCGCGACACGTACCGCAACTTGACGCTCAAGTCTGTATTCCTGCTCAAGTGGGCCTTCATGTACTGCTCGCGCGCCCAATTCCTATTGAAAACAGACGACGATGTTTTCGTCAACGTTCCCAACATGGTGCGCTTGCTAACGGAAATTAAACGTACGAAGCACCAAACAGGGCAAGTATGCATCGTTTTCTTGGTTTTCGTTTCTTATTTTTCGATCTGACATGTTTTGAGCGACTACGTGTGTTGTTTTAAAGTCAGTGCCGGCATAAGTTCGCTGCGTGTACGAGATATTAATGCAGTTAGTTTGGGACTATAGTCGCTATAGTGTATCACATTGTTTGTAGTCCTCAGGGTGACTTTTCTTTCACTTTACACTAACTCTGTAGTTTTTTCCTCGTTCTTTTTTATTCTCTTAAATTCTGCGCTCGTGACATCGGACAGACTTCCAGCTAGTTGTAGGGTTTCATTTCTTGTTGATGGAGCTCAGCATTGAGTAATAAAAATAATCTCATGGGCACTTTATTAAATTCAACAAGGTGAGAGGAGGGCGAATTCCGTTCTTATTAAATTTTTGTCAAATCTGTCATAATAAATTAGGTAAATTCACGTCGGAATAGAGCAAATGTTCGCCTGCGATCGCAGTCAGAAACAGGCATTCTCTGCATTGAAAAATATTGTATAGTTTAGCGTCAGCGAAACCCATGGCAACAGCTAGATGACTTACTCTTGCATCGTATGTTGTCTCTTGAATCTATGCGCCCTTTTTCTTGCATCCGCGCTTCTTAACACTGTTTCAAGCGCTGTTTCGGAACTATGGTTTAAGAGAAATTTCTGACACTGGAAGGGTTTGCATGGTTTCACCAGCTGGGCGTCACTGCCCGAAGCCTTATAAAATGCCAAGTGCGTGTACAGAATGCATCGCAAGAGGTTCTCTGTATTTATCGCGTCCAGTGAAGGCACTATTTCGGAGCTCTATTGAGGCATAGAAAGATCAGCTTTGACATCCACCCATGCTAAGCGAGCATGATTTTGACAAACATGTTTTTGATTGTGCCAAACGAAATTAAGTTAGGTCGAATAAAGCAAAACTGGTTCATGGCCTGATATGTTATACATGTACTTGAAGATGTACGTAGCGCAAGTAAGAGCATCCTGTCGCCCAAAACTGTGCGTTGCTATACGGCGAACTCTCTTTCGGGAATGTGTATCTTAGTTGCGCTGGCTACCATTAGAAGAACTTGTAAGAGCTGGTGCGGCGCCAACTCTACTCAATCAGAACCTGCCGTTGAGCTAGTTGGTAATATGTCATCTTGAAAATTAGGCGCAAATTAAGTGGTTGTAGGGCGTGGGCGGCAGCACTTGCGTGCGTGAAAGTGCGTGAGAGTGACGGTGTGCTAAGTTGCGCCTAATTTTTTAGATGACTTTGCGTAAAGAGGTGTTAAAAGAAACCTCGACTTTGATGATTAGGTAGACGTCAGCAGTTATTCTCCGAAAACTTAAGAAGACTCGTCACTCTAGTTCAGTGCGGGCACACTCACTGCTCCCCGCCCCCTTTCATCACGACTAGCTGGGTCACGTGGTCACGCAGGCCCTTCGTGATCAGTAACATGCGGCGCAACAGCACTGCCGAGCGCTCCTTGGGACACAAAAACTACCTTCCGCTATCGGTGTTCTCCAAGGATGACCTGCCCCTGTACGGTTCCGGCACCGCCTACGCATTGTCGCACGACGCCGTGCGACCCCTGTTCACGGAGGCCCTGCTTACACCGTTCCTGTACGTCGAAGACATCTTCATCACTGGCCTCGTGGCCCAGAAGGTGGGCGACCAAGTTGTTACGTAGCATACGTCAATTCACAGAGCTTTGTGTGCTCAGCCTTGTGTGTTCCCACGCAATCGATTAGCTATTGACCTTATGAGTACTCTGATTACGCTGATAAGCGCTTCCAATGTTGTGTGTGTTACTCGGGTGGAAGTGTGAGTGTTTGAGAGAGTCAAGTTTGCATTAAATATCTTGCAATATGACGAATAACCAGCTAGACCAGCAACAAGCCGATAGTGCAATAACACTCGCACGATATTTGCATGACCACGTTGCAGAGCGAATTGCCCTTTGCGTTCCTACGGATACGCCGTGCTGCACAAATACCGCGGGAGCTTTCAAACTAAAGCAGCCCTTAGAGACGACAGCACACAGAGAAATTAAGGTCGGGCACGGAGACGTCCTTCGCTTTCATTAGCAAAATCACTGCGACATAACAAGCGTTCCACTCCGTTCAGCGAGAGGAGGCCAACCAGGTTATACACAAGGAGCATACATAAAACTTGCTGGAGTGGAAGGGACGCTGTGCGAGTGAAGCCAGCCGCCGCCATCTTGCCAGTGGCAAAAAGCGTGCTCAGCGCCCTCGCGAGCTGCTGATTTCGTCCGTTCTTGTTTCACCTTGTCGGCTTGTAAAGACAAATGGTTTACAATGGTTGCCTCTTGCGTCATTTACGGATGTGCCAACAGGTTGAAAAAAGGTTGTGGCCTCACATTCCACCTGTACGTACACGAAAACGTCTTCGACATAGCCATTCCGCGCTCGTTACTAAAGGGAGCTATAGCTGACGTGATCTAAGCGTGCAAAACATAACAGTCCGGATTTGTTTTACAGATTTACTAAAAATCCCGTAACGCGGAGCCTCTGGGAGTGGGCCGTTCGCCGTGAGAAGTATAATGCGAAAGACTGAGATCACTTCGCTCTGTGCACTTCGCGCCAGAGTGCTTTGACCACCTTTTTGACATTGAAGGGAAGCATGTGAAATGAGGTTATGAAGTGGCATTGAAGGCACTTCAACGTAAAGAAGGGTTGTGGCTCGGAAACAAACTTACGAAAGTCAACGTCCAATGGGAAAAGCAAGAAAATGAAGGTGTATTATGCTGTACAACTGAACGAGTGCCTCAGTTGCCGACGCTTTGGACTTCTGCGAACAAAAGCTAAAGCTGCCGCAATTCAAGGGTGCCAGCACAAGATCTACGTTTATTAGAACTTTTGATGGCTTGTTTGACATCTTAAACTCCAGGAACCCGCTGGCAAGGTCGTACAAAGCGCCCCTTCGGCAAGGGAACGAAGCATTCTGGAAGTCGTTTTTTTTTTTTTTTGTGGAGACTCGAACGTACATAAACGGGCTGAGAGATCCGGCAGTGACAGAAGGACTGAAAAAAATGGATTCATTGGTTTTTGGATATGCATGGCAAGCACCGAAAGAATGTTTGACAGACTTGTCAGCCAGGGTCAGCTGAAATACTTACTGACACACAAACTCAGTCAAGACTATGCCGAAAACTTCTTTGAATCAATACTTGGATGAGGCGGCCATAACAACAACCCAACAGCTTCGCAGTTTATAGCTGCATACAAGCGTCTCTTGGTTCAGACGGAAGCCACGTCTTCAAGTTCTGGACACTGCTCCCAAGATGTTCTCTCCGTATTGAATGCAACGACTCCTGCAGCCATGGTACATCCAAAAAGCAATCTCACTGACATGCGCTAGGCCCCAGTCCTGCAGCTCGATGACCACGACAATACGCATCGCATTGACTAGCCCGAAAGCTTTTCTGCTTTTGTCAATTCCGTGGTGCCATACATAGCAGGCTTCATTGTTCGAAAGGTCGAACTGCAACTACCTGTGAAGAGTGCATAGCAGCCATGCACTCAGATGAGCTGACACCTTTAATTAAATGTAAGAGGCGAGGTGGTCTTGTTTTACCGTCGCGAGATGTCATTAGCCCCTGTAAAGAAGCCGAGGACTGAGGTGGCTACAGGCTGAATGTGATTCCATCACAACGGTGAAGTCAAGAGCAAGACACCTCATCCTGAAAAATCTATGAGCTTCCTCCGAGAAAAACTGGTTCCATAAACTAGAGCAGCACGTCCTAGACTTTGATACGCTTGATAATCAGGTTTACAGTTTGTGCAGGCAAATCGCTGAACAATACGTAAAAGTGAGGATACAACACATGACGAAGGAAAAAAAAACCGAGAATCGGTCAAAAGTAAGGTGGGACCACTTTTGACAAGGGCAATAATTTTCAACCACCAGTAGGGCCCCTATGTTTTCGATTATGTGTTTGCTTTAGGCATCGCGATTTGATGCATATGCACTTTAATTGAGTTCTCTACATGGCACTTGGCTGCGTACAAGTCGCAATAAACATTTACAACCAGAGTTACTTGTTTTCGTTGCTTTATAAACACACGAGTCACTTCACCCGCAGCGCGGTGAAGCATTAAATTTGCAGCGCTCGGCTCTTTTCTGCCACTGGCAACATGGCCGCCGCATGCTCGACGCGGCTTCACTTTCTCCCGTAGCGGCGCATAGGCGGCTTCCACTCCAGCAAGTTTTATGTATCCTCCTTGGTCATACATGGCGTCGTACCAGCTATCATATGAATCACTGAAGACGTAGTCATCATGTTTTATATTTGTCTACAGTTCATTACTAAATTAGATGAAAAAAGAAAACAAGAAACACTGCGTGTATGTGGAATTATCGAAAGTATTCAATAAGAACTGCACACCTCTAAGCTTGTTTTTTCCAGAATATTTGGGTATATGCGTACACGGCGGGCGGAATTTTTTAAAACTCTGCGCAGTAACGAACCATGTTGTATGGCCGAATAAGCAAAACTGTGTTTTTTACTTCTAAAAAAATCGACAGATCCCACGCATGTTTGTGCGAATGGAGCTATCTAGCGCGTGTAAGACCAATGCAAGGTAGCGAGGAAGCTATTACACGCCGTGCAGCAGTACACGAACTTTTGCTGTTCAGCAAGAGACTGTTCAGTAGAGACTGTTCAGCAAGGACCCCCATTATTTATTTATTTATTCGAGTACCTACAGCGCCCTATTTGGGCATTACAGTAGGGGGGAGGAGACATAAAACTTGAAATTGATACAGGGTATGAATACCGATAACAAAACAAATAAGCATGCTCAGCTTATACAGTGTGTACACATTCTCGGGAACACGAGGCAATCAAGGAAAAGTAAAACACAAACAGAAATACCCCATTATGTGTCCGCCAAGTCACCATGGAAGACTGCGTGCAGTAGCATTTGGGGCTACCTTCTCATTCAGTATACTTAATGTGAAGGTAGCATCACCGTTTGGGCAGCAGCGATGACGCCCATATAGGACATCATCGCTGCTGCCCTAACGGTGTTGCTGCCAAGCGACATTGATATTTGTGGTCTAGCAGGATTGAAATGCCATGCAACTAAGAAAAGAGCAAATGGAAGGGAATGGCATGACCCTTACGCGCCACAATATCATTCACAATAGAAAATAGGTGGCGACCAGCCACGATGTGCCCAAGGCGAACTTTAGCGACGGAAAAATGGTCAGGGCTTCATGCCCGTGTTTCGACAAGAGCGCACACGGTCAACTTGGAGTACGAGTGGACATACTGTGCAGCCCGTGTGAGCTGAAATGTATAGGGGCGGTATATGGAATACCGCTTTGCCACAGTTGGCAGTATTGCCATACAAACGGGCTGCATTTCAATCTCTAACGGGCGGGATCGAGTGCTATTGGTTAGACCAGCCGCGGTGTGGTGCTGCTGCTCGACTGCTCACCTCAAGGTCGCAGGATAGAATTTCGGCGCCCGCGTAGCGAAGGAGGCGAAATTCTAGAGGCCCGTGCACTTGGATTCAGGTGCACGTTAAAGCACTGCCTCGTGGCACAACTTTCCGGAGCCCTCGACTATATACATGACATCCCTCATGATCATATTGAGGTTTTGAGACCTTGAACCCGTACAATTTAAATTTGATTGGCTGAACAAGAAAACCTGACCCTTCTATTGCATCGAACATCCTTCACACTAGATGGCGCCGTTGTATATTTAGAGTTTCAGGGCACTCGAATTCACTGCAGGTGTCTGACGCCATGACACGATGGCGTGAGAGGTAGCCGAGCCATATCGTATCCAAAAGAGAAATGATTAACCCATCACTGTTATACCCTCCATTGCACTTAGCAATAATTAGCAATCCCCAACCTCTTTCTTGTTTTGTTTTGCTTTTTCTCTTTCTCTCTGATAAGGTGGGCCTCGACAAGATCCACTCTAAGTGCTTTGTGTGTTGCCGGCCAATCCAGAATGTGTGCGAATACCGGTCCCTGGTCACGGCACACTTGCCTAAACCGGAGTACATGAGGGACGTGTGGAGCTTTGTGCGAAATTCCAGCGCCGTGTGCCCCAGTCCCAGTGAACGGACTCCGTGCTGGCCATATGAGCGGTCCGCACACGTCTTCTTGGCACAGTAGCGGCGAAATAGGGACGACGGTTAAACACGACTATAAACAATCGTATGCTATGTGCTCGGGTTATCGAGCCATCCTCCGAAGTAACGCAATGCTTTTAGCGTATAAAGAAAACTGTAATGCATACCCATCACCGTACGTATAGTTTAATAAATGTCAAACCTCTGTTTCTCTTTGCCTCAGCCTGTCTGAAGAAAAAAATCACAGCATATCCACGGAGTGAATGATGATGAGTGGGGCGAAGCGTCTCTCCGTCCATGCTTCCATCCATCCGTCCATCTGTCCGTCTGTTCATCTAGTGAACACTCTAAGTACCGTCATCTCGCATCTTTTCATCATATACAAATACCGCCATTCAGCGGACATTCTAAGAACTAAACGAGAGGTGGCTACTATGACTACACGGGACGCATGACACGTGGCGTGAGGAGCTTCGCCCCTAAAGAAAGGCACATGTAAGCTCCAAATATATCACCCATGCCTGTCAGGATCGAACCCTCCTTTAATAACACTGAAGGGCTATCAATTATAGTTAATCCCAGATGGTTCTATCAAGCTGCCGAGAACATGATTTTGTTTTCTAAGTAAACTGAGCAAATGATTCCGCCATGTAATATAAGTGGTCTGGGTGACATCGCATGGTCTTCTGCAAAGCGTTATAAGGTTCTTACAAAACTTCTCGCCCAAGTCGGGGTGATTGGAAAACATGATATTGGGGTATTAAAACCACAGTGTTCTTCACATTTACATTACAATTACCTCATGTAACATCTCCTATACTTTTCTTGACATGATTGTCTATTAGATCTCATTCAATATAGTGTCTAACAAAGGTAACGAGCCCTTAAATGTACACTACTTCTCACACTGCACTTTATATCACGCGAACACCGCTTTTATTTATTTATTTATTTATTTATTTATTTATTTATTTATTATTTATTTATGTGTGTGTGTGTGCGTGTGTGCGTGTGTGCGTGTGTGCGTGTGTGCGTGTGTGTGTGTGTGTTTGTGTGTATGTGTGTGTGTGTGTGTGTGTGTGTGTGTGTGTGTGTGTGTGTGTGTGTGTGTGTGTGTGTGTGTGTGTGTGTGTGTGTGTGTGTGTGTGTGTGTGTGTGTGTGTGTGTGTGTGTGTGTGTGGTGTGTGTGTGTGTGTGTGTGTGTGTGTGTGTGTGTGTGTGTGTGTGTGTGTGTGTGTGTGTGTGTGTGTGTGTGTGTGTGGTGTGTGTGTGTGTGTGTGTGTGTGTGTGTGTGTGTGTGTGTGTGTGTGTGTGTGTGTGTGTGTGTGTGTGTGTGTGTGTGTGTGTGTGTGTGTGTGTGTGTGTGTGTGTGTGTGTGTGTGTGTGTGGTGTGTGTGTGTGTGTGTGTGTGTGTGTGTGTGTGTGTGTGTGTGTGTGTGTGTGTGTGTGTTGTGTGTGTGTGTGTGTGTCACACGAATTCCACAGTGAAGGAGTGAATGCGCACTTCGCGCGCCTCAAGCCACACATGTGGTCACGTGGCTTTTTAAACTATTTCGAGGAGGCGACGCCAGCTTTTTGCCAAAGGTCACGTTCGCCTGACACATGTAAGGCTTTTGCCTTGACATCCCAGCGTTAACATTTACTCTGCCGCAGTTGCACGGCATTTGCGGATATTTGAAACGTTACTACATCGCATTTGAAGAAAACGTTGTTGGATTCTCTTGCAGCACTTCTGTTTCGAGACATTCACATTAAATTTCTATGCTCAATCAGCTAGTCACATTCAGTTGCTTGTATGTAGAAGCAATGCCAGTTCACCATTGTGACTGAAGTAGCTGTAACAGCCGTCACTAAAGGCGATCATGCAAAATCTTTACAGCATTGCTTAACCAATTAAGCCCGATAATTACGAAACAAGCATCAGCTGCGAAAGTTTAGAAACCTGTCACTCCTTGTTCTTGCTGTGCCAATGCGCCGCAAACAATTATTGATGTCACAATTGTGGCTTGTCAATGTGTCGAGATCCCGGCGTACCTCCGAAAGCGAAATTAACCGAATTTAGAAGAGGCAAGCTTCGAGAGAATCAAAGAGAGGTTATTCAGGTGCGATTCTACTAGCGTTTCATTTATAGCCTTGCACCATCAACGTGGTAGCAAAAAAGCGTAATAAATAATTCGCTGCTATAGCTTTTCGTTGTCACTACAATTGAGCTGTCACGACAATTGTATCCGCTAGAGAGCTAACATTCAGTAAGCCGCCTCGGAAAGCATAATTTGCACAGCTAGCATAGCGTCTGTATATTTCCAAGATCACGTGTGCTGATTTAGCTGTCTTGAGCGAACAAACGCTAAAGAACCATAAGTTGGGAGACATATATTATTGGGAAAATCCTCCCAATTGAGATTACATAATGAGATAGTCGTTAGTGTGCGTCCGAAGCTTCGGTTTTTAATAAGAAAAACTGGCTAGTTCTAGCAAATAAAAATAAATTTGCTTAAGCAGAAACTTCTCCCTTTGCCTCAAACTGTTCGAGCGTCGCTAATTTAGGGACGGCGTTCTTGACACTGAGTTCGTTAAACATATATATTAATCATGGCGACAGCGATCTTAGGGTAACCTCTTGGTGCACTGGCTCAGGAAGTCAATCACCAAGTTCGCTCTTTCACGGTGTCTTACAAGTTGTTCTCTGCATAGCACGCTTAATCAACCTCGCACGCGATGGAAATGAGAGAAACGAAGAGTTGGTCCCAGATCTCGTTTAATGCAGGAACTAAAGAACTGAAATGCAGGGCTGGCGCAATGAGCATCATACATCAGCCTTGAATTAATCGTTTCTGAAAGAAACGAACACTGGTGCCAAAAAGAGAAAGTCGCTCGTAGCAAGGTGGTAATAATAGGCAACGAGAAAGAGAGGCCAGTTTTCCCAAGGATGCGAGAAGTTCGTTAAATGAAGATAAGATTTTATGTTTATTTTATTTATTTACAACATACTGCAGGACATGTGACCCAAGCAGGGGTGGCGAGGTACAGAATGAATAAACGTACATTGCACAATTGAAAATCCTGAACGAAATCACACAAACAAACAACTCTAAATCGAAAATGATTAGGAAACAGTGACGATGTAATTTTGTATTCTTTCAGGTGAGTCCAGATCATGAAAAGGTATGACGTTGCATTCTTCAATAATAGTTCAGGGGATAAATAAACATAAAAAGCTCAGTTCTGGTAACAAAAATCTTCAGAGCAACAATTTCTGTTCGCGAGTAGTTGGATAAAATATGGGGCTCATGGCTAATTGTGGTCACGCAGGCGCTAGTGTAGGTAGTGCCCAGCTGCCAAAAGGGGGTGCAGCCTTGTTCGAGGAACATATTTTTCGTGCATGCCCCGTGAACCACGGAGTGAGCATAGTTTTTAGAACAGTCCTCACTGTCTGATGAAACCACCTGCAGGTTGCTGAAAACCTTTCAAAGAAGCCACCAGTATTAACCGAGTTATCTTGAACTTATAAATAAATACATAATCTTAATCGCACGAATAGTTTCTACACAGAATTATGAGATACACAAATGGTATATATAATACAGCAGAAATAGAGGACAGCAGTGGTTTCTGGTTGTGTTCTGCAAGCATTGTGTTGACATCGCGGCCACAATGCGAACAATCATAATAAGCATATCTTCTTAAAAGTGTGTGGGGATCTGTGGTCACAGATTCCTTCACCCCATCTCTCAATTGATAAAAACACAAAAAAGACTACTGTAGGCTTTCTTGAACGATACTTTAAAGGGACACAAAATAAATACATGAAGGTGAGCTTTAGTGGTAGATTTTGCGTCTTCTCACATCAAGCATGCTGATTTTAGAATCATTAATGGGGTATTTGTTAATATAAGAAAGCTCGCATTAAAATAGCGAAGGGTTGGTGCCGACGCCCCATTGAACTTCCCGCGCTGGATGTTGGTGACGTGGCCGAGGGCACAAACGCATTGAATGCCGTGATTGGGCGAGAGCTATTCACTGCTGTAAAAATAAGCACAAAGTCAATATACCTGCAGGTAAATTCCATTCGCTAGCAAGACCTTCTGTTGACGAAAACAAAGCTTCGCTTTCCAGAAGCATGGCCGGCTGTCATACACAGGAACACCTGCACGGAAAGTCATGTTCGCGCCCAATGCCTGAAGTTTCTGAAATGCAATCTTGATTCCTTGGCGAGGTCTTCGAAGCGGGGTTCAGAGTCAGCCAGCACATACATCGTGGCCATGTGGCGGCCCCTTGCGCACGCGGTGGCAAATGTGATGGCGCCCTGTTATTTGCTCAGAGCAGAGGCACCACCTCATTTTTTGCCATGCATAGAGGGGGAGGCGGGGGATTAAAGCACGTTAGTGTACGTTCGTGCGTGCGTTTCCAGTATGAATCAGAAATCAGAAATTATTTTATTATGTCATTAGGAGCGTTACAAATTGTTCGTATACAGTTTGCACGTACAGATACGCAGGTGCAAAATTGAAAAATATCGAGGAAGAGGGGAGTTCGCATCCTCCTCCTTCCCCTGGCTGTGCCAATGATTAAGAGCAACGATGAACATGGTGACGCAACTTCAACGCCCAATGTGGGGCGCGATAAATATTTGGTCTTTCGTTGCGAATGCATCCGCTGATAAGTTACCGTTTTTGCACCAAGCTAGACAGCCACGCATTCGCAAGGCGTTTTGTTCTCGACCTGCTTGCACGAAGTTGCTTTTGTCCGGGCAGAAGGCTCCGCTGTTCTTTTGCTTATTTCTTACTAGCTTCATGTTATGTATGGTAGAGGAGCGTACGTCGTGCACGGTGCATATGATCCGTACTTGACGCCGTTGTTTACTGTTCCCCCGATACGCGGCGTTTGACGTCACCGTACTCTCGTCTTTCCTCGATCAACGCCAGAGGAGGCTCTGCCTCGATTAACTGAGATGCCTACGGTGCTCTGGCCGGCCCTTCATCGATCGATGGCGTGTCTACGGCCAGTGTTTTCCACCGATGTACACAGTTTGATTTCATATGTGCGATTTAACGTCCCAAAACCATCATATGGCCCCGCCGCGGTGGTCTAGTGGCTAAGGTACTCGGCTGCTGACCCGCAGGGCGCGGGTTCGAATCCCGGCTGCGGCGGCTGCATTTC